CCTTACGGAATCCTGCTTTACGATTTCAATGTTGAGAGTTACAGGATCCTTCAATCTGCTTAGTAATACTCTTTTGTAGACTTATCCTGGTGTTGAGATTTTCTTTCTTTCGTATTTTGATGCGGTTTCCTCCCTTTCAGTCTGCTGCTAATTGCTTATCGTCCCGAATCTTGCTGAAGAGACTCTGAAGTATCTTCGCGATCACTGCTACGTCTTCTTTCAGTGTCTCAGCTGGAACATTGTCTGCTGCGTCTTCTCTGCAGCTTTTGGTTTGTCTGATGGCCATGCTGATCTCCCCTGTTGTTGGTGGGCCAAGATTGATTGGGAAATTCTTAGATGCTGCTTCGATAGTAGGTGGTTTAGTGGAGTTGGCCGGCCTAAGAGTTCTTCAGAGTATTCTGCCCACCACTTTATCTGTTCTTCATTGTTGCTGATTGCTTTGCCTTACTTGCTCTTCGCTGGTCGTTCTAGTTTACGATAATTACCATCTTCGTTGTATCGTATAAAAATTTCAGGTTTCCATCTCTTGCAGCTTTTTATGCTGTTGATTAGGTTCTTCTACATATATATTGTCGTCAGATCTGATGCTTCTCTGCACTTCCTTGCTTACTTCTGAGTATTCAGCTTGTGCCTTGGGATTTTCTGCTCATGTTCGATGAATACTAACTGCCGCCTTCTCGTTTCTTCTTTCTTGAATCTTATCTATTGTATCACCAGTGGTCCATTTCTTGTGATTATGTTTCTCGTGGCCCAGAACCTCACGACATATTGAAGTGATTGCCTCACCAAGCCCTCTCTTGTTGTTCTTCATGGTAGTTTCCACTCTACTGAGTATATCGTGGAAAGCCTGAAATCAATTTCTGAGGGCTATCTTGAGTTCGCCACTTTTGCCAGTGCCTCCTGAGTTCCAATTTCAGATTCATCAATATGAAGTGATGATCACAAGCCATACCGGCACTTCTCTTGGTTTTCACACCCCACGTGTTCCCTCTGAACTTTTTATTGATGCATATATGGTTGATTTGGTTGGGTAGTGTGGTCCGCTGGAATATGTTGTCGCCAATAATCAGTTTGTTGAAGGCAAATAGGTTTGCGAATTCCTCATTATTTTCGTTTCTGTCTCCCAGTCCATGTCGTCCCGTGATGTCTTGATATTCAGTGTTGTTCACTCCAACCTTAGAGTTTAGGTCTCCGGTCAGAATAGACAATTACTTTTTTGGTCATTTTTCGAACATTGACTGGAGCCTCTCGTGTAATTGATCTTTAATGTCTGAACTGTCGTATTTATGCTCTTAGCACTGAATGATACTCATTGTGATCTCCTCTTTCTGTTTTGAATGCTGCTTTGGTGATCAGGGGTCTGTGAGCTTCCCTTAATTTCAGGGTTTTGTGCCTGTTTGGATAGCGTCAGTGCAAAGTCTCGTGCATGTAGAGCATTCTGTTGTTCATCGCCAGAATATTACGGCATTTCTCTTGTAACTAATCCTCTTTGTCCAACCCGCGTTTGATGTGTTTCGCAGAATCCAAGTACCACTAGGTGGTCCATTTTCATTTCTGTAGCAACTAGAATAGCTCTATTGGTGTCCCATAATGTACAAACAGTCTATATACCTCTATATTTGGTTGCTTAGGTTGTCAGAAGAGTTACTAGCCTTACGACTTTCGAAAAAATTTCGCTGCCTTTATCAGACGTTATAGCTGCACTGAAAGAAGATCTAACACCCATGACAGAGTTTAGAAGGTTTGAGTTGTTTTCTCTGGTTAGTGCTTTTCGGCTAGTTAGTTTTCTACGAGATGGTGTCTCTAATCTCATGCCCAGGCCTCCCTCTTTATTCGGGCTTCGAACCGACTGTAGCTCTTAAGGGGCTGTAGGTGGAGTCAAACTTTGTGCTAGTAAAGTTAAGTAGCATTCTTTGCCAGCTTGATGGAAGAACTTTCCACCTACTCTTTAGTGGCTTTTTTCTGCTCCATTTAGAGTATAGAAAAATGTTGCTCCCTCACTAGTTCCTAAAGGACAGGAATGCAAAATAACGTATTCTAGGGCGAGCCACAATATTAGTTCTAGGACCGAAGTTCAGGCTTTATGAAAATCGACTGGAACCACTCCAACTCTATTAACTAGACTATAGGTATGTCACAGATAACTTAAAGACTATCCTAAACACTCCTGAACAAATCCTAATATATTTACCTAATCTCAGTCCCAACTCAAATTATAGGGGAAATACTCAGAAACTGGAGGCACAACAAATCGAAAATGGCTGAATATACACCTTATCTTTATGAGCGGTCCCATCCTCTACTTCTCTACCCACTGAGGAGTTCAAAGTGACTTTCCTAGAGTTCTTCAAGAAGAAACTTGGAATTTTCTTCGGAACTCGGTAAAGTTTTCTCTTTTACTGGTTGCATACCTCTCGGTCCCTATCTGGAAGTATCGGTGATCTAGTGCTACCAGATGGGGTAGTCAATCATTCTGACCATTTTCGAGATACCGACAACCTTACTGTCCTGAGATGAACGAACTCACTTGGAATACAAGATATACAAGCGTAGAAATAACGAAAAAAATGACTGAAATCAATACATTGAAGTGACTTATTGGGCGTTACCAAACGACTGTAATCGTACTGAAACAACAAGATGCGAGAGACAAGAAATCAATCTGTTTGTCCTAGTCCGGGACGAACATATTGAACACTACATGAAGAGGCGCGAACATTTAGTAGTTGGTAGCCTTGTATTGACTTTTTGAGCCTGATCCCAACCAAGGAATCTCAGAGTTTAGAGGATTGTGAATTGTCTAGATACCCAAAACATCTCGTAAACAGTATCTCATAATGGTTAACTCACTTCCAGTGAAAGTAAACGTTTGTTTACATTTCCGAAGGATATTCACATCTTCCAGCCTTTATTTCCAGCAAATAATTTAAGCTTCGTATTCAGTAATTTGGCGCACAGAACTCGGCACTGACACTAGTCATCATGTACAGATGCGAGATAAATAAAGCTAGGGTACGATATTGTATTAATTTATGATTTAAATTATTGTTGTTGGCTCTCTCCATGTAGGAATTAATCCACCTAATTTCGAGTCATACTCAAAGTGTTAGACCTCGGATTGATAAAGGTGGAGAGGGGCTGAAGTTAATTGCTGTAACTAAGCTACTGCTCTCATCATCGTTTCTAGTCACACATCGACCGATAGCGTGAGGTTAATATTGCACTATGAAATTTGTTCTTCATCAGCAGCTGGTACAATGAGATATCTAAGTTAGTAGGCTTCCGCAACAATAAATTATTTTTTCTTGTGGCTCTTAATTAGCTTGTTTTACAAGTAATGCATCGAAGTTTGTCTCTTTTGGCAGCTAACATGGGCTTCAGTGGTCTGCTGACATTCTGCGCGTGCTGCCTCATAACGTCATTTATTGCTGCCGAGTCTGGTTCGAAATATAGTTAATAGTTTGGTCCCGCGTAATAAAGAATAACTGTATTTGAATATCATCCGATACCTCACCGTAATTCCATCAAGTCGTGATGATAAAACTTGAATTTAGGATATGTTTAACCCTGTGGGACTTTCATATTGTATATTGTCTGTAACAAGATCCATCTTGGTTGTTAGCTTACTGAAGCTGTATTGTCCAATACATTTTAAGCTATCCTTTGATTGTGTGGTTTTCCCTTTACCAACCGTTCGTAATATTGGTATTTCATTCTGTATGGTACATTTCGTGTTACCCTATAATACTGTGATTTTCTCCGGGCATGTATAGCAAAGGTAAGGTTAGTTATTACCTTATATGGGGTTTCTACTCATTTCACCTAGCTGATAAGTAACAACTTTCAACCTGTTAGTCAAAGGTTTAAACATCGCTTCACTTTCTCATATGTAATAATGAAAACATTAAATTTAATTTACACAGCGGAGAACTAACTCATTCAAATACTTAGAGTTTCGGAACATCAGTCAGTAGAAAACAAATTTCCGGTAAATTCCGTAAGGTACGTTCATAAGCCTTTTAGTATTAACCCAAATAAGCAAAAACCGAGAGTATCGTCTTTACGTCAGTAATATTGTCATATACTCATTAAAGTAGGTGGAATACATGCATTCAGTTCCAAAAATAATATATTTGTTTATTACTAGTACCTAATTGTGATATGGACCGAGAATATTTCAAAAAAACTAGTTGTCACTGGTATGCTTTTCAAGCAAAATTTTCACTGGCCATATATATTCCCTCTCATATTCTGGCAAAGAGGTTGGCGACTTTTAAAACCACTAAAAACAGATCACGAAACATTGTTAACGATGTATTCTAGCTTGTTAACAAGACCGAACATGTAAACACTACAAAACCAAGATGGGCTCTAGATATAAAACGATGATTCTTAAGTGTTCCATCCGTGTAAACTGTCGAATGTTAAATTCCATTTGACATTCCAATTGTTATATCCGAAATGCACCATGAATACTTAATTTTCAATGGCAAAATATATAGACAAAGAATTGGGTTGTTAATAAGCCATCCGACCCATATTAGCTAATACCTCTGAAACAACTTGAAAATAGTCAAGTGTTCATAATTTCTAACAAATTAAGCTGATATATCAGTAAAAAGGAATTTAAACGGAGAAGTACGTAGGTGGAGAAGTATACACATCCCGCCATTACAGGGGAGATTTCATAAAACCACTTACTTACGACGTAATGACCCTGTGCTTTATTGATACTGTTGAAAGAATCTAAATACTATGCGTAATGCTGAGAAAAGTTAATACCGTGGAAAGCCTACAATTGAATATCTTGCTACGAGATCCAGAGACGTATCTCCAGACTTTGAATAAGAAATCTCCACATACAATACAGAGGTTATGTAGCCAGTAAAGTAATAATCTAGAGGTTACCCAAGACAGTACAGTAACAACAACTAAAAAACTAGTTACAGAGATAGATGAACCTTTTGTAGTTATCAGCTCAATTGCTGCAAAGCAAGTTATATCTCCTGATGCTCGAAGGCCTTTGTGCTCTTTGATCCCTTACATCGTAAATAAGCGAGATAGTACGACTGTAAGTTGTTCAATTGTAGCCAATTTTTTTCAGACTGATCATATAATCAGCATGAATCCGTCGTTTTCAGCGCTAGTGTTAGAAATCATCTCCCAATATTTGTTATATGTCTGAAGTAATGGCTGTAATGGTTAAAATACCAGCGCTTAGAGTACGAAACAAGTATATCCAGCATTTTATATTTTGTATTTAATTATCAGTTCTACCCAGTTCATATAATCTCACATGTCACGTAATCGCTGATGAAAATTCGCTGTAATTTGTGATCATATTATTCCCCTTATTATTGTACCTGTATTTGTTATGATTACTGGCCTCAATTGGAGTTGATTTGTAAACTTACTAAGGTTAATATGAACGATTTTCTAATTAACAATTCTAAGTCCAAATGTTATGATCTTAAAGATTGTATTTATCTTGAACTTGATTATTTTATTGGTTCACTAAATTAGACATATAACTGTAGGACATGATGAGAATGTATTGATAAAAACTGTATTTTTAAGGTTTAGATGAGAAACTTCATTCAGCTGACATTTGTCTATTGTTTATGTTTAAATGATTCTTAATGTTTCTTAATTTCAGACAGCCCAAGATTGGCATCATGATGCAGCCATTTTGGCTCGCCTCATTAAAGATAATAAAGGAAGTATTGTCATTTATACTGGTGCTGGCATTAGCACATCGGCGTGCATTCCAGATTATAGAGGGACAAACGGTTTGTGGACTGTGCAGTCAAATCTCAAAACTAGCATGAATTCAGGTATTTAGTTATGATCAGGTTTTTAGTTTAGTGCCATCTGCGGTCGACTTTGACAAAACTGATCACAAGAAATGTACAAAAATGCTAAAACAACAGGTATAATGCAAAATATATATTTTATTTATTAGGATAAAATACTCCAATGTGCATCACGTATTAAGACTTCTAAAACGTCGAAAAATATCAACTTAAAGTTACGACTTCCAGAAGCGACTACTGCAAAGCCAACATTCACTCATATGGCCATCAAAGTTTTAGTAGATGAAGGTTATGTACGTACTAGCCTAATAATGTGAAGTTTAATTTTTTTTAAATTGTTTTTGAAACTTGTTTAACTAACCCTGAGTTTATGAACGTGTAATAATCATATGATCTTTAAAAAGCTAACTGTTACTTTACTCTGTCCAATTATAAACTGATTGCCTTATACGAATTACAAATATAATTCACCGTAGATATAGCGTTCCTGGAGTATATGTACCCACGTATAAAGTCTGCGGACATGGCAGCGTTTGCTTGAAAAATATGCTATATCAGTAAGTTTTCGTAGCACAGATTTATGTTTTTATAAGGATTTTTAGCCCTTCTTTACTCAGTTGCTAAAATAAAAGCAAATTCTGGTCATGCTGTCTGATTGCAGTTATAGGTTTTTTCTAAATGTTGACTATTTCATTAAAAACGTTTGTAGCTCCCTTGATTCCGCAAGGTAATTTTTAGTGCAGCTGTTACCTAAAAAAATTCTGTCGGCTCAGGACGTGCAACATTACTCTGTTGTTACATCACAGTTCGCTACTTGTTTGATATAAGCTGTTGTTGAAAGCTACGATTTGCAATTGAATTATGTTTGAAATACGCAGGTTGTTATCCTAGTGGCAGGAATCATTAGCAGTGGTTGCACAAAAGACAAGTTATTTGCTCGATACTTTTACTCTGGAAGAGATTAGTGGAATAACCTTTTTGAGTTTTTTGATTCTGAGAAGAAAATGCTGTGGATCAACCAAGTGTTTCTTTCTATGCGTTGATCGCTAATGATCCACTTTCAGCACTAAAAGACAACACTTCTGTGGTTTTCGATCCTTTAAGGAAGGCATAGTTAACCATCATATCTGTTCAACCCTTCTAGCATGAACAGACTTCATGGATGGATGTTCCAGATGGTATAGTTTGTTTGATACAGTATGTGCGTAGATCGAGATTTTTTTCTTATCTGAAAATTCTCTTCAACATTTTTTACGCCTTTGTGTCAACAAACATTTTGTTAAATATTTCCTTAGTTTACTGAATTGTATAGGGATTCATCTGTTCAGATGATGATAAAATTAAATATATGCCTAGAGTTTGTCACTAGCTGTATAAACGTTTCAGCAAACTATAAGACGTAAAATTAACTTATTTGTTTTATCCAAACTTTACTTACTGCTGACATCGTCACTCACAGTTAACTAACCAACTACTTGATGATTAACAAGAATTTTCATCTCTGCATAATTTCAGGTTCGACATGTCGTTTCTCAAAATGTTGATGGCTTGCATGTGCGTAGTGGTCTAAAACGTGAGAAACTTTCAGAGCTACATGGTAATTTATTCATTGAAGTGAGTGCACTTGTACTTAAGTACAAACCATTTATTTTCGAGTAATGTATTTTATGTATCTATTTCTGGTTTAAAAATCGACTATTTTCGGTTTTGGCACAGCTTTCGATTCAGAGCACATGTTATCCATTTAATTTTTAACAGCTAGTTCTTATCGTTAACCCTCACAAAAGAAATGTGGCATATTACATAATACTTAAATATGTGCTGGAATAAATGCTTAGGTTTTTAAATTTAAGATGAAAAGGTTGATTAACTGCAAATGTATTTTCATTCTGAACATAACCGTTTTTGACTTACTTTGAGGTTAAACACATCGATAATGATACTTTTTAGTCGATTTTTGCTTTCTAGGCTTTTTATAGCATCAGACTCCCATTATCCACAGAAGGTTGTTTAAAAGCAGTTAGAGTAAGATTTATCATTTTTATTCTACTTAAAGTAGGGAGTTGTACTTATTGCTTAAGGTTAAAATGAGGTATTTCTGGTATGAAAAGGTTACTAAATTGTCTTCAAGGACTTACTGAGATGCAGTTTTTTTCCAAATATTGAGTGATCACCGCTCAGTATCTGGATACAGGTCCATATTTTAAAATACGGATTACGTTATCGAATTATGTGGGTCTAAAGTTAAAGCTAGACTAGTGGATTAAAACAAACCATATGCTTCTGCTTTTTGCATTTACATCGCTAGTTTTTCTGCTGTTGTGACTTAGTAAATTGTTTCACTTTCCGTTTGATTACTACTTATAATACGTGTTGTAAAATAAATGAGAAAAATGCTTTGTACTATAACTCATCTTTTGTCTTAATATTTTTTATTTTAGCAATGCATCGCTTGTGAAAATGCTGTTTTTCGAGTTTTCGACGTCGCTGAAACAACTTCTCGTTCACACCATTTTACTGGACGCATTTGTCCTCGGTGTCGTAATTCACACCCTGTTGAAAGTACAATAGCTGGTAATATACTAAAGAAAACAGCTGAACAGTTGGCAGTATCTAAATACAAGACGAATGTATCAAACGAAAATCTAATGTTAAGTTACCGACATGCTGCAAAAAAATTAGTCAGGTCTTTCGAAAGTGTACGTCTTAAAGCGATGGAACATTTACGTAATACTCAAAATTCTGAGATTTTAACTGATTCAGTTCTTAAGAAAGCACCTTTGTTAAGAGATGTTGTTGTTCATTTTTTTGAACGACAACCAGAGATGGGGTTAGTAGAAATATATCGTATTCAACCAGCGATCGAAGCTGTGCACGGCCGTAAGGTACTTCAAGATGCTGTTAATGCTTCTACGAAAGACCCTAAGCCTTTGGTTCACGGATGCAAACGTCCTAATGAAGAGTCGACAAAATATCTTATTGAATCTTCATGGTTTAAAAGAATGCGTCCTGCGATAAAAATAGAATGCCAGGATTTTCATAAAGCATCAGAAGCAGTCGATGTAAAACCTATTTATACGGATTCTCTAGATACACCTGCCAAGTTAATAGTTGTTGTTGGTTCATCTTTAACTGTTTTGCGTAATTACTCATTTTTGTGGCCTCACGGCCTTGGAAGGTGCAGTCAGCCAGGTTCATTGAGCAAATCTCAAAAGAAACTAACAGGTGCTAGTTCTATATCCAGACGGACTTCAATTCCTAATACTCCTGGAGATTGTCAGTTGGTTATCGTCAATTTACAACCCACATGCAAGGATGGAGTTGCTGACTTGGTGATTCGTGTTCCTTGTGATGAACTATTCCGCGTTATCATGTCAGATCACTTGAAAATAGATGTTCCACAATATGATCACAAGCATGATCCTCTTTATTCAATTGGTCTCCCTCTATCTCCAGAAGAAGAATGCACACGTACTCGTTTGAATATCCCATTCTATTCTCTATAATATTGTCTCAAGTTTTATTACTCTTTGGTGTACAGTTTCATCTGATTTAGGTGTGGTTGTTGATTATTGTTTAATCCTTTATGTGTATAAAAAACATTTATCCTTTGTACGCATAACAAGAACCAGTACCTTTGTAAATAATAAGCTACATTCCCACAAATAAAATACCTCAATAGAATTTCATCGTGTCACAGCTTTTTGCCCTCGAATCGGAAAGTAATTCGTAATGTCAGTCAATCAATGTCTAGATACGAAGAAGTACGTTTCTCGTCTTAAGAGATAATATAGATATCGTCATAGGAAACTTCCTAAAACACTATCCATCTAATCTTCAAATGTCTGCAAGAGGAAATGGAGGTGTTTTCCGTAGTTGTTGCAGCTCGTTAGTTATTTTTTTCTACTTCTACTTAGTTCGAGAGTTAGTTCATTAGTATTTAAGCTCCTAGGTAACTATGGCATTTCGAGTGCCTTAGTGATACCTAATAAGTTCTTGTTGTCAATTGATATATAGCTTTGTTTGGCTAGCGACGTATTCGTCGAAACACTGATTCCATCCAGTAATTCTCAGATTCTGAGTATACTCTACTTACTTCAGCTTTACCAATACAATGGTATTATAACTTGCAACCACCTCTTCAGACAAACAAAAACGGAGTACATAATTCCTTACGTGATAGATGGATTACATTAATATTTCATAGGATATACAATAAAAAAGTTAATCATAATATCAGATTTTAATAATGCCTAGGTTGTGTTGCGAAAAGAAAATTCAGAAATGGATTTTACATAGGTTCTCATCTTTTGTTGACAGTTTCCTTGATTGAAACCTTTTTCACTATCTATTTCTAGTTTTCAATTACTTATTGACAATCTTAACCATAATTTCGATGATATCTTGATAATTGTTTAAACTTCCAGTTAGAAATATGGATTAGTTTAATTAGATTTTCGTAAAATATACCTACTTTGTACTTGTTACTTACGTATTTAACATGTATAGATTTTGTTAGCTAGTTTTCACTTGTCAGAAACTTCATTTCCTTTAGAGTTCATATTTTTCTTAGATTTTAAAGACAAAAAATTAACACTCAGAAAGTTATCAACAAAGAATACTAGTGAATATATCCATTCTAAAGAAAAAGAAACATTTTTCTATGAAAAACACTCATCTTTAGCTTATGGTTCAGTGAATGAGTCTTGTTAGTGGGTCTACGCAATTATTGTAACCAGTGGTTGATGATGTTGGGTGGTATGGGTCAAAATTGGTTGCAATGGTATGGGTGTATTTATTGTTTTATCTCAGATACTGAGTTTCAAATTATCTTACGTTTCACTTTAGTGTTATACAAGTACATTCTTCCCTTATTGTATTTTCTATTCTTGATCCTATATACTATTACTAATATTATCACTTTATTATGATTCTGGGATCTATCTTCATTTTATCTCGTGTTAATGTAATGTAGTAGCTTGAACGTATGCACATAAATGCCAGATTGCATGCTGCTTAGTGCTAACTGGTTTACTGATAGCTCAGTAATGAAGTACAAGTGATTGTAGTAAAATTTGATCTGGACAGTTATTGTTAGAATTGTATACACTGCTGTGTGTGGGATTGAATCTTGTTGGTAAACCGCTTAAAGTAATTGGGTGCTGTTAAAGATACTACTTCATATTTCTAACAAGAAAACATTAACCTGATGTTTCACTTATAATTTGAACATTTGGTTTTGAGGTCATATTTCTTATCTGTTTATAGTAAATTACAAACGTAAAATTATGTATTACATTTGTATAATATTTAAAACTCAAAATTGGTTTTGATCATGATCACCCCTTACAAACAAACGGAAGGATTCTGTTTTCGTCTAAATTATTACAGTGTACAATGAAATGAGCCAGTAGAATGTCAACATTCGGAAAGAAACTGAATATTTATAATCAGTGTTACACCAGTCCTTGGAACAAGTAGCGATGCATCCGTGGTATAAATCATCATCTAATTGGAATTGTCCGCAGTGAGTTGGTATGTCGGTTAGTTTATCCATAGAGCATCTTCGTATCAGTAAGCTAGAACCGTCTTTTTGACGAATACCCTTGATTTTTGTGCAGTAGTGGGCATAGAAGAGACCTTCATGTCCAGGTATCGTTTGACGACATGGTCGTTGAATTGTAACATAAGCACTGACTGGATCTTCACATGCTGGATTACTTCTGTTCATTGACACACAAGAATAACAGGCGATTGCTGTTGCTGTGAAATGTTTTATTGAGAGAAGTGCAGCAATTTTTTATTATTCGACCCAAACAATTATCAGTTAAAATAACAACGTACAATCATCATCGTTAATTTACTACTTTAAATGATTGGTGAAACAACTTAATGCGACATAATATAACCAGGTGATAACATAATGAACACAGAATTTATTTGTTCTACTTAGATAGCTAACTGCGCAACATTTCCTGAAATAAATTTTAGAGCCACATCGAGTATGTGACAAATGAATTACTCTTAATTACTAAGAAGGCTATTTTTATACCACCACTAAAAGCGACAAAACTGAAGAAACTAAGGTGAAAGCAAAATATGCACTCGATTAAACCAGGGCTTCGTTATTTTTTTCATCGTCTGAAAGTTGTTCATAATGGAGTGGTGGTGAAAATACTAGTTAAACTTCAGCCAAATACATGCGACTGCTTAGATTTGCAGTGTACCGACTATACATAAATCTTGATTGTAGTCAGTAAAACGAATCTAGCTGTGTAATTCGTTTGCTAGTACTAAATTTATTAAAGTAGGGATGAAATGTATCCTTGCAGTTGTTGATCCATTGTACAAATTATTTCACAGGATCTCTAGGGCAAGAAATTTCAGCATATCGTAAATTTCTTTTATTTTGCTGAACTGGAAGATCCGTCCAAAGGAATTAATAGTTAGATGAAGGCACCAGACGACTTAGTGACTAACTATTTTTAGTGACAATTATCTTATCTGCTTTTCGCTTTTCACAGTTAACTGTTTTTATCTCAAGTTTACCAATTTTGATGATTATTCCAGATTTTAGGGAGAAGTGCACAAGTATAGCATCATACAACAAAATAAAGTGGTAATAAGACTTTGAAATTTTGGTAAGGTATTCCTTAAAGTTGAACTTCAGGAAGCATATTGAACACTATTGAGATTTTCATATTGTTGTAGAAACAAGTCATTACATTAGGGTACTAAATGTAGTAAAAAAAATTGTGGATTGTAAGATAAAATTACACTTTATACCTAGAAAAATTTTAATGTTTTGAAATGCAGACGTGTTAGAATTTTCATTACATAAAGCTCTATTCCAGCAGAATATCGATTTCTTGAAATGGTTCAATACTCGGTCAACAAAAAAAAGATTATATACAAACTTGCTACTAACTCACCTATATTCACCTTAAGTAATAAATAAGAAATAATCCATGTAATCCAATGGCATAGTGTTAAATAGTGAGTTTTCTGACTACCGAGTACTTTCATATCTATTCATCTCATCAAATTACACAACATTCTGAACTCATCAAAGTTTCGTAACATTGTAAATGATTACGGGCCTAGAATAAACTTTAAATAAAAATTGTTTTACCGGTTAATGTCAGTCTGACCTTCATGTTGTTCTTATTGGTTAATAGTCAGTTATAATAGAATTGACAAACACCTGATTGGTAATTTTTATTAGATTTAACCTAACTGGATTTGTCCACAAATAAGCATAAATGAATTTTATCCATTGATTTTAATGACCAAACTATGAAGTTTTGTTACGAAGAAAATAGTAGTCTTTTTAACGGAATTTGTTGATACATCTGAAATTTGGAAAAAAATCAGAGTAGGAATTCGAAAGTATACTGGTGTCGTGTAATAAAAAAAAATTAATTTTCGTGATTTTATTTTACGTGTATTATTTCTGTACTTATATAGTGACTACTAACTCGAATCGGATCTCATAAATGATCAAGTACACAATTTACCCTTAAAGCTTTGACATTGTCTTCTGTAGGAAAGTTTGAAACCTAACTCGCTTAACAATGGCTATAAAATCATGTAAATTTTCAATTCAGATGTTTGTTTATTATATATTTCTTTAATAAAAACATCTTTTCATATGCTGAATCAAAATATAACATGCTTACGAGTAAAACGCTTTGAATATGATTTTGAGATAATTAGTGCCATAAAAATGTCCAAACAACTTATCGTATTACATATTGAGAAAATTATTTATTAGATGAGAGATTGCCTTATTTTAAGTAAATACAAAGAAAAATAACGTTTAAAAGACGATTGCAACAAACTTGCTTAGTGATATCGAACTACGAAACAAAAGGTGTGATAACTATGGTCTATATTGTAAAAAAAGTAATTGTATGGAAATTCTGCAATCAGATTTCTCATCAAATTTGTGTAGTAATGTTTTTTTGATATATGCAGCTAATTATACGCTGTGCCCACACTGGAAAAGCACATATCTCAGTTTTGGTTGACTTCCACTCGGAGGATCGGTTTCACTAGAGATTGTAAATACTCTTTGTTGACAAATATCGATCAGTACGAAACCTAAGACTGGGGTTTCCTATTGATTTTCTCTACCGACCTAACATTAAAAGTATCAGATCATTCATTAGTGGCTATATTGAGACTTGATAAATAGGAAATGCTAATATTGATTACTACTGAGTGGTAGATCAGCATGTATAGTTCAGTTACCAGGTTAGAACAAATCCAGTTTCTTTAAGTTGTATAAGCTTTATAGTAATAGGTAGCTGGTTGTGTGTCGCTGATATAGTATAATTATCAAAGTGCTTGGTTTAACTAGTTCTGGTGAATACATTGCATCCAAGAAGTTAAACTTGATAATTTAAAAAACGATTTCTGCACAAACACTCATACCTTTCAACAGTGAAATCTACACAACTATGATGACTGTTCTCTTTATGCCAATAATTGAGTGAAGCGACTTACAGGTTTTCATTTTCATCGAAAATTACTCATTGATCTGGTTTGCTTCTTACCAATAATGCTAATTGTACATTTGGTTTTAAACTCAAATCATTGTTTTAAGACCATAATTAGTAGTAGAGGCGTAGATTTTTATACTAAATCCTATCTAGAATAGCGGATATGTTTTTAAAATTTCTTCATCCCTCTCCTTTTATTACTTTTCATAGGTTCAACTTCACAAACTGTTATTTTCTTTGCTATTGTAGTAGTGAACAGTTTAAAAAATCGAATCGTTTACCGTCCATATTGTTTTAATCAGTTTATCAGTCAATCACTAAACACTATAACTAAATAAAAAACATATTAACGCACTTATAAAGAAAATTTTACGTAGGATTATTTGTTCACATATAATTAATATACACGTATTTACAGATAAACTAAGAATGTATTAAATACGAGAAAAGTCAGAAAATAAATTTAATACCGATGTAAAAATTCATATTAAAAATACAAAAATGCTTTATCACAGCATAATTTACACAATAGAGAACTGTACACGTCTTCTATGCATATTTCATAAACGAGAGAATCGGTAAATAAGAAAAGAGAATGAAATTCTAAAAAATATTCTCCAAAATTATTCAATAACAGAAAATTAAGTCAAAATAAACAACCAAGATTATGAAAGGAAATCAGTAAAGAAGTATACAGTTAGAACACTACCTAATTGATATTGCAGACTGAATATACCGTAAATTAGGTATCATCATTCTTTAATGATTTAACTTATTCACGTGTGGAAATTAAGTAAATGCGAAAATGACTACTGATAATAAAATTCAGTAGTATGAAATAAATACGAGATTATTCAGCAGATTATGACATTATTTCATTGATTTTAGTGTAGATTCCTCACTGTGTTTCATCCCTGTAAAACCATTGGTCATTGAAGATTTGGGTATCACAATCAAAGGATCCAATAGTCGTTTAACGTTGATGAAATTTTTTTCTAATTCTTTATGATATTCTGTTTGATCAGAACCGATTAAAGATTCATTAAGACGGAGAGCTTCATATGATCTAAAATTAGGAATTGACAGAGATTTTAAGCGAAAAATGAGTCAGTAAATTTTGCGTTAGTTTTTAGTAGTTTTAGAAAAACACATTTAATGAATAACCGTCACTAGTTTTGTAAGCAGCTATTTTCTTTTAGCGCATTATTAATGGTTACCAGAGCAAAATAGGGAATTAGGCTAAAAGCAATTAGTTGTCTTACATCAATATATACAGTTCAGTTTTTTTTAAAGATAGTTTAGCCCGATGGTATATGTTGCTCGAAAATAAACAAATCCGGTTACTATTTTGATTAGCCAAACATAAACGCTGTTGTATTATATTGTAAATGAAACGATTCGATCGATTCTAGTCATGAATATAATAATGTTATAAATCGTTTATCGATCTTTGTGCTCGTACACAGAGTCTCAGGCTGCTTATTCTCACCCTTTCTCGTTCTTCCGGTGGTTGACTGGATTATGAAAACATCGAAATCTCAGGGAAAGCTCGAGATACAGTGGATAGCTCGGATGAAACTAAATGATTTGAACTCCCCAGATCACGTAGCTCTTCTATCCCACACAGGAATAAATATAAGCAAATAAGGGCAGTGTAGCAGTAGACCTCAATATACACAAAGGAAAAAGTAAGATCCTTAGATATAACACAACATGCACCAACTAAATGAAGAACTTTTGGAAGATGCAGAACAAGGTGGATCTGATGTAGGTTTGAGTACGCGGACTGGCAAAGCAAAGGCGATTTTCCGATAATTGTTGAATATCTGGAACTCAAAACACCTATCAATGATCCCCAAAATTAGAATTTTCAATACAAACGTGAAGGCTGTTCTATTGTATGGAATGAAAAGTTGGAGAACTACGAAGGCCATCATCCACAAGATACAAGCGTTGATTGTTGTTGTTGTTGTCTACACACGATACTGAGTATCTGTTGTTTAGACACCATCAGCCAAAACCTACTGTGGGATAGAACAAACCATATTCCAGCTGAGGAAGAAACTTGGAAGAACACTGGAAGTGGATAGAACACGTTGTTGAAATCACTCAAGTGTGTCGCGAGGCAAGCCCCGACCGGGGATCCTCAATTCAAAGGAAAAACGGGTAGACAGAACAACACATTGCAATGGGGATCGGAGACAGGCACTAAAAGAATGAGTATCACTTGGGAACAACTGAAAAGCAAAGCCTAAGACAAGGTTGGTTTGAGATTGCTAGTCGACGAGATATAACTGGCGTAAGTAATTAAACGTAGAGTCTCATAATTATCAGGATTGAAGTGCATGGTTCACTTACGAACGATAAATAGAAACAAATTGGATAAAGATAAAGAGAATTCAGAGAAGAAAAGTTTGTTTTCGACAATATCATTTTCTGGAGTTGTACAACCATATTCATAGGTGATCTTTCACTAAACAGGGGAGTTTTACAAACTTATCAACGATAATCAAACTTATTCAAGTGGAACACAATGAAATTGAAAATTGTTAATATGATCTGTCTGTTAAGTGGGGAGTTATCTAACATATATCTGACCTTTATATTATTCTGATCCCCCTTATCTAAGAGTTAGATTAGATTATTACGTAACTTCCTTTCGACATTGGAATAACACCCCTCAATTTATAACTAATTATTACAATTATGTTCAATACTTGAAACCTTTTAACAAACTTGACCATATTACGCAAAATCGCCTCATTGATAACTTCGTGAAATTCCTCTGTTTTAGCATGGACTACTAGGTCAAGATCACCTATACATAAAATTGAACAACTGCAGAAAATGATATCGTCGAGAACAAAATTTTCTTCGCCCAGTTCTCTTGATATTTATTCAGTGGGAAAATGGGTTATTTTAATTAAAAAAATGAAAGCTATCGAGTCACTGTATGAAGTATTCTGCATAAAATGATCACATATGTATGTATTGGAAGAAACACTCAACTTGCGATACATTCTCAAGGTTGTACAATCTAATGTATGTTTCACGCATATGGTGACTTATTGTGTAAAATATCTACACTGTCTTATCAATAGTATTGTGATAATTTTTATTAATGGACAGAAGTGATTTGTAAAATTTACATGTTTTGTAAATTGAAACTATTTACGCTTCATTAAATGTTACTAATTCTATGGAAAAAAATCTTTAGCAAATTTTTAAATGTGTATGTTAGCTCGATAAATTCGCATTACCGAAATTCTAAGATATCTCAAAGCTGTTTTGTTCAAAAAATTGCTAATTTTGATTAAATAACTTAACTGTTAACATTCTATTGACAATAGTGATAAACATTTTGTTCCCAGTAATTCTTTCAATTACATGAACATGACAAACCGATTTATTACTGGTAACATTTATATCTGTTAGGATATTCATCCAATATCCTAAGAGAATTATTGGTCAGTTCCTATTGATTAATTTCTACTGGTCAATTTTATGGTCGTCCTAAATGTCAATGTCACAGACTTCAATGTTGTTTCCTATTCCACCAAAATGTAGAAATACGCATTATCAGTAACGTTTTGTGACCAGGACCAGGACCCGGTCCCGGACACCTAGTCCGGACCTCGTACTTTTTGAATGCTTGTAGAATACATGTTCTACTTCATATCAAGTCTTCTTATTTTTACTAAATATGGGGGTTGGGATAATCGAATTTCAGTAGCATGTCGTGTCGCCGGATCCTCGATCTTCGCTCTCGTTTTCCGACTAGGTAAACTCGTAATAGTCCAAGCATATCAAAATGACGTGTTTACGTGCAGGCGTAACAATAGCATCTGTATAATTTTTAAAGTAACTTTCATCATAAGATATACATTTAAAATTAATACAGAAAAAAATTACTTAATAAGAAATTGTTGAAAAGTTATTCTCAGACGATTTTGTATATCTTCATAAGCAGTGGGATTTAATGCTGTCGACAAATTATTCTTATCGGGAAGTAATGATTTTAATGGTTGATTTTTTTCATTTCCCAGAAATGTTGTTGCCATTTCCACTGGTCCTTGGTTAACTACAGTTCCAATACATCCCTTAAAGAAAATAAGTAGTGTAACTGTTAGTATGCTAGGATAAAAACCAAACAGAGTTGGAAAAGATCAAACACATAATATGCTGAAGAGAAAATTGACGAAATTCTTAACGTTGGTGAAAGTCATAACTGTGCAGTTTTGACTTTGTTAATGAGTATTATATTTTGCATTGTAACTGTTCCTAAAGTATCCACCCCATTTGCAACAGTTTGGTAGACTATCATATCATTCAAAGATATCATATTATTTTTAACAAGACATCTGAGTTGTATCATTGTAACTAGTATTATTAAACAATATTTGCATTACGGGGTTGTGAAGATTGTCAAGTTACACATTTTTGAAACCATGAATCGATCGATAATAGACCACCATTAGAAACCTGGAAGTACTGGATGGCCGTTTCGTCCTGGTATGGGACTGCTCATCAGCAGTGCGCATCCACGACTCCTGCACCCCTCAGGATTTGAACTGAGGACCTTCGGTATTGTAGGCGAACGCCTAACCATTGGACCACTGAGTCGGTATCTAATGGTGTTAATGTTAATTCATGGAGTTGCGCAACCTCATACACAGTCTTCGGTAGTTACTGTTGAACTACACTGGTTACGTCTTCCCACTAGAACTCGGAGAAGATTCCTCACGAAGCTAGTCACTAGTGAGCACAGGTAATTTGCATTACGGGGTTGTGAAGATTGTCAAGTTACACATTTTTGAAACCATTAACACCGTTAGATACCGGCTCAGTGGTCCGATGGTTAGGCGTTCGCCTACAATACCGAAGGTCCTGAGTTCGAATCCTGTGGGGTGCAGGAGTCGTGGATGCGCACTGCTGAGGAGTCCCATACCAGAACGAAACGGCCGTCCAGTGCTTTCAGGTTTCTAATGGTGGTCTAACATTGATCGATTCATGGTCTCAAAAATGTTAAACAATATTTGTCAAAAAATGATTCTTTTAAACAATTTAGTGTTGCATCTGTTTCACAATGATCAAAGCTTGATTTATGAATAATTTTTATCAAAGTTTGTTCCCCTAAAATTTTATTCATACTGTATTTGGTTATCATCGACGGTAAAATATTGTATTTCTGTGTATTGTACAATATTTGGTATCAGTACATTTGACCCCTTGAGTGATTATCACTCACAAACGCTGTATGTATGTTCGACTATAATTTGTTCTCATTAATACTCTCATTCATTAACCGTATTTTTAACAAAACTCTATATCTTTTCTACAACACTGTTTTCATTTATCTAATAACCATTGAAACTTGCCACCAGTATGACTCGGTATCGTGCAGCAGAAACTCAACCAGGGAAAATTTCCAATAACAGAAAATTTGTGGATACTTTGGACTTTTTTTCAGAGCAATCACTTTTAAGCAAAATCTAGAAACCAAAGTATACGAAAGGTATCAATTTATCTCGGTCAACTGGAATGTTTATTTTTTTGAAAATCAGTCGCCAATAAACGTTCCGGTATGCAACTTTGATCCACTTGTTACCATAAATTAAATACAGTTGTTCAAGACAACGTAAACTGTTAAAACGTCGATTTTTTTTCTCAAGGAAAGCTCAAAGTACTTACTTAAAAAAAAATTGAAACACACACCCACACAGATCAATGATTTGCAACGTAATAGTCCATAGTACTAACCACATTAAACTAGTTCTTATGTATCTGTAGGCTGTGAACACATAAGCCAATGATTTCATTTTATAAATTATTCATATCACACTTGTCTCTTAGTCCTCTATCACTACTAATATTATGTTCAGTAAGTTCAGTTAATGAATACTTTTTTTCCTAACGAATAAAAAGGTTTGCGTGACAAATTAAAACTTATATCACACAATACTGTAAAATTCTGTAACATAGTTTCGCTTGAATGCAGGAATTGATCGATGTTGATGTAAACTGTTTTCATAAAAAAAATATAGAGATTCTTGCATACTACTGAAAAAAACGAACATAAATTATAAAGTTTTAGAGCTGTAGAACATAATGAATGATGTACTATTGACTTTTACATTTTATATGATTAAAATTAGTTCGCATTATGGGGTTGTGAAGATTGTTAAGTTAGACATTTTTGAAACCATGAATCGATCGATAATAGACCACCATTAGAAACCTGGAAGTACTGGATGGCCATTTCGTCCTGGTATAGGACTGCTCATCAGCAGTGCGCATCCACGACTCCTGCACCCCTCAGGATTTGAACTCAGGACCTTCGGTATTGTAGGCGAACGCCTAACCATTGGACCACTGAGTCGGTATCTAATGGTGTTAGTGTTAATTTATGGAGTTGCGCAACCTCATACACAGTCTTCGGTAGTTACTGTTGAACTACACTGGTTACGTCTTCCCACTAGAACTCGGAGAAGATTCCTCACGAAGCTAGTCACTAGTGAGCACAG